AATTGCTGAGATAATCAGAAATCAAAAATCTGTGGAAATAAGGAAATAAGGAAATAATTGTGTACTATTAAAATTACATTCTTGAATAGAATTTATTTTTTAAAATTTTATTTAAAGAAAGACTGAACAAAACAAAATAGGTAGAAATAATAGATATGTTCAGAGAAAAACAGTAAGAAATTACTAGTTAATCTTTACATATTGTCCTTTTACAAATAGTTGTTCATGATACAAAAGTGGAACATATAAAGTGGGAATTCAAACAGCGAGACTGCAAACTGTTCTGTTCAGCTATCCAACAAAAACTTAGTAATATGGTTGTCAGTTCTATACACTTAAACATACATGCAGTTATCCATATCTTCATTTATGTTGGGATTAAACAAACTAAAGCAGGCTAGAGTCATTCTGAACAAAGAATAATAGTATTGCTAGATTTCATATTGTGACACTCTGGGATCAGCACTGGGTACTGTAGTGTCTTTTTAAAAAAATTTTATTTAAAGAACGACTAAACAAAACAGAAAATGGGTAGAAATAATACATACTTTCAAAGAAAAAAATAAACAGTAAGAAATCACTAGTTGATGATTACAGATCAAAGAATAATAGTATTGCTGGATTTCATATTGTGACACTCTGGGATCAGCACTGGGTACTGTGGTGTCTTTTTTTAAAAGTTTTATTTAAAGAACGACTAAACAAAACAGAAAATGGGTAGAAATAATACATACTTTCAAAGAAAAAAATAAACAGTAAGAAATCACTAATTGATGATTACAGATTGTCCTCTTACAAATAGTTATTCAAGATACTAAAGTGGAGCATATAAAGTGGGGATTCAAACAGTGAGATTGCAACCAGTTCTGTTCATCTGTCCAACAAAAACTTAGAAATATGGGTATCAATCCTGTACACTTAAACATACATGCACTTACCCATATCTTCAATTATGTTGAGATTGAACAAATCTAAGCAGTCTAGTATCACTCTGAACAAAGAATAATACTATTGCTGGGTTTCATATTATGACCCTCTGGGATCTGCCCTGGGTACTTTAGTGTCTCTTTTTCTTCAAAGTATCTGCTCGTTTCATCATGTGTCATAAGATCAGTTCTCATAAACTGTTTATAAAGTCTACACATGCATGAGTCTTAACATGTATTTCTATCCTTTCTGTATTAGAGGGAGAAACAAAACAAAGCAAGACAAAACAAAACATATTCCTATAAACACATGAAACAAAAAAGACATATAAGACCGTTGTACAAGGAGTTCTACCATAGTTCCTGTGTTGTCTCTTGTTATCTCCAATAGAATTGGCTATATCATCAGACATAGTATAATTGAATATATCAATACATAACAGTATTAATAAAAACACAACTTTATATATAGCATAAAAATTTAAAAGAAGGCAGTTATCAAACTAGAATGTGTATCATAGAGTTGTCATCTTCAGTGTAGTTGCCTATACTTTCAGACTTGATGCTATCACTCATATCAGTTTTGAATAAAATCTGTTGATACCAAAAAGCAATCAAACAAACCAGATTTAACTAAGATCAGTCATGATAAAACAGTATAAGTCGTACAGGGCTTTAGATTAAGATAATGTGAAATTAAAGATGATTACTGTGCTATATCTTGATGTTTTGGTGATAGCTATCTGTGCCCTCAAATCTAATGCAAGTAGACAACTGGGATAGAATAAAATCTATCAAAAAAAGAATAAAATCTAAGCAGAGTGGTGCGAGTAATGTGGGTTTTAAATCCTGATACACAATTAACAATATCTTCTGCCATCTTTTTAAAGACTCTTCCCTCTCCTTTCACTTCCCCAGGGTACACTGTGTAGTTTTTGGGTCTGACCAAGACCCTTGGTTTTAAATTGGAGGGGGCAACTGCTATTTACCTAAGTGATTCTGAACCTTCTCTCTCTTGGACTTGATCTCTAATTGTTTTCCTTTACCTTTTAAAGCCTGTCTTTCCAACCTATCAACAAATACTGATTAGTTGCCCCTATTTCTCTCTGGTTCTCTGTCACATAGGGCATTGTTTTCTCATATTTGATTTTCAGTGCATGTACTCTTTTTCATGTTAATTATATTTCCTATAAATAGCATCTTGGTGGCCCTGCTGATCTACTCCATATGTGTTTTTTTTTTTAAATTTAGTGTATCAAGGCCATATATACTAGAGATTATAACCAATCTTCTCTGCTTCGTTTCTGTTAATGCTCTTTTTGCCATCAGTTGTCTGCTTATCTTCTTTATTCTGTTTTCTGCTCCATTCATTGAGGCTTCTCTGCCACCGTTCCTGGAATCCTAGGACTTTTCTCTCACTCTAGAATGTCCTGCAGTATTCTCTGTAGAGTTGAATTAGTGGTTGCGAATTTCCCAAGTTCCTCTTTGTCTTGGAAGCATCTTGTTTCTCCATTAATTTCTAGAGACAGTTTAGCAGGAGTGTATCAATCTGGGTTGGAGGTTATTTTCTTTCAGGGCTTGGAATATTTCACTCCAAGCTCCTCTTGACTTGATGGTTTGTGTTGAAAAGTCTGCCGTAATTCTGATGGGCCTTCCTTTATAGGTTATCTGTGTCTTGTCTCTAACAGCTTTTAATATTCTGTTCTTATATTGAATTTCTGGGATCTTGATTATTATATGCCTGGGTGTAGCTCTGTTTTGGTTGTAGGTGGCTAGAGTTCTGTATGCCTCATACGTCAGAATATCATTTCCTTTTCCTATGTTTGGGAGGTTTTCGTTAATTATTTCTGTGAATAGCCTTTGTAGTTCCTTTGTTTGTACCCCTGCTTCTTCATTCACATTCTTTGTTCTCAAGTTGTAGATCCTCTTGTCATCTTCTAGTCTTTGTATTGTTACTGCTTGTCTCCTTGTTATTTTTAAAAGCTTTTCCTTTTATAATACCACATTGCAAAACTGTCCTCCAGTTTGGATAATCTATCCTTAGTTTTGTTCAAGCAGTTTTGCCAGCTTTCAATGGAGTTTTTAATTTCCTGGTAATCTCTTTGAATCTGCTTCTTGGTGGACCTGTTTGTAAGGTGGACCTTGTTGTATTCTATATTTTCTTTTATATTCTTCATCAAATGGTTCTCTCCTTTGTTTGAGTTCCTCCCTTCTTCCATCTGTGTCTGCTTGAGGGGTGCTTAGCATCTCTTTTATTAATCTTCTTATATCTTGCTTTACTTGGCTAAATGTTTCACTTTTGAATTCGTCTATGAGGTCCCAAATATATCTCTTGATGTCCACTGGTGCCATATGTGATACTGCATGTTTGCTGTTCTCATTTTCCTTTGTGTTTACCTGTCCTGGGTTCATGTTCTCAGGGTTGGGACCTGGGGACTTTTTGTTGTTGCTTCCTCTTCCTATCTTTTTGTTTCTTCCACGAGGCCCCAGTTTCTTTCTTTGTTGGTTACAATTCTTCTCAAGCAAACTGGCTAGCTGACCCTTCTCACTGCAGCATACTAGTGAGTTGCAGTTAGGGGCAGTGTTTGATGGCCCCTCCCCTTTGGATCAGTCAAGCTGCTGAGGCCTGCATTGTATTATTGTATGTTGCCTCCCCTTCGGGTCAGTCAAACTTCTGAGGCTTCACTGCGTTAGTGTGTGCTGCTGCCATAGGGAACTGATTTCAGATAACCTATTGGGTCTCAGCCAGGTCGTGTGATCCAGGCCTAGCTCACTCCACCAATCCCATTCAAGATGGGAACAACTGACTGAAGTCACTGCTGCCCCTTGTACTTGCCAGTCCTGCCTGGTCCCAGAATGTCGTCTGCTGAAGCCCCCCTTTCTGTGGAATGGCTCCACTCCCGTCACTTACCACAGGTTGATGCAGGCTCTCTGCCAGCTCTCCGTTGGCTTGCTGACCTCCAACCTCCGTGTGACTGCGCCTCCAGTGAGTTGAAGCGGCGGGAACTCAGCAAGTTGCCCACTGTGGGGAAGTGCTGAACTTTATAGCTGTTCCAATAATAGAACCAGGACTGTATGTTTGATTGGTTCTTCCCACCTTACTTTCTTCTTGGGATGAGAGAATTCATCTCCCTCTGTTCGGGGCTCCCCACGCTGTATTATGTTGAATTCCAAGTTGACTATCTCAGGGAGCCTTTGTAGCCAACTGTTATCTATCTGCCATCTTTGTTCCGCCTCCCTTGAATAGAATTTAAAGAAAGTCAAAGTAGATCTCAGTAAAAGTTGTCAGGCTTCCTAAATTAACACATGAATTTAATTCAATTCTAGTTGGAAACCTAGTGCATTATATTAGCAAATTAAATACAGTTATCTTAAAATTCATGTGGAAAGCATTTTTTTAATACCTAAGAAAATAAGCCATGTAGTTCTTAATACAATTTTGCAGTCTTTTCTCTCCTTTCACTGTAAACAGCTATTTTTTATGGAGAAGGTAAAAGGTAATGTTTTCAAGGAATATGCTATGTTTCATTGACATCATTTATAAAATTCAATGGAAAAGATTTAATGTCCCTTCATTCTAAAATTGTAATCCTCATTTAAACTAAAAGTATATTACATTATAATAATTATTATTTTAGTGGTGCTTGGGATTGAATCCAGGGTCTTCAGACTGAGCTATATCCCCAAGCCCTTCACTGAACTGCCCACAGTAAGCTTGAGTTTGTAATCCTTCTGCCTCAGCCTTCCAGAGTGCTAGGGTTATGCATAAATGTACACTGCCATATGTGGCTTATGTTATTAACTTAGATTTTTAAAAATTTCTCACTTTTTTCTTTTCTTTTTTGGTACCGAGAATTGAATTCAGGACCTTGCACTTGCCAGACAGGCACTGTGCCTCTGAGCTGTATCTCTGGCCCATTTCTTTAATGTATACTAAACAAAATATAACTTATTTTAGTTTTCCTGAAGTTTAGTGCTTTCTGCAAAAGCAAGATTAATTTTGAAGTTAAAAATTCTAAAAAGAATTCTCTCTAAAACTTTCCTTTTCTCTCTTTCTTTCTCTCTCTCTCCAAGGTATGCAACCACTCATGTATTCAGTTCAGGAAGCATTAAATGCCAGACCATGGTGGATTCGTATGGGAACTGACATTTGTTACTATAAGTAAGTATTCTAGGAATAATGGGATACCAGCATACAAAATGAGGATAGTAGCTTCAGTTTCACTGTAAAGGTAAAAAGTAGAATTATTATTGCATTCTTAGTATTGTAATGATGTGTGTTAGCAATTTTGAAGAGTCCTTTGGAACTTGAGATCTATATATCTGATGTGAGGATAGTAGAAATAAAATGTGTAAGGATGTTAAAAAACAGACTCAGATCCAAATGTTGTTTTCACCACTTAGTTATGTGTCCTTAGCTTTTGAAAAGTATTTAAAATTCTGGAGTCTTCATTTAGTGAAAACTGAAATTAACAATTATAACAGGTAATAATTTGGAGTGATTTTTTTGTTCCTGTAATACCAAATATAATTACTTTCACTTCTTGTATGTGTTACCACACAATTTTAATTTCAAAATTATTTCAACTGGAGATGTATTCCATAGTATCAATTTTCATAGTTTATCTTTGTCTTAAAATAGGTACTCTACTTTAGTAAGTTAGAAATAAGTGCATGTTGAATTGAACTGGATCCTAATTCTAGATTGGGAAGTAGCTTAGAGAAAAAAGAAAATAATAATTATTTATTCATTTGGATAATCGCAGTATTGTTTAGCTGTACTTGTAAATACCATATGATTCTCATATTCCTTTCTTTCCATTGTTACTCTATTTCTGCATGCAGTTTGTTTTCACAGTTTAATCCAGTTGGCCTCCCACCTTACCCTCTCTTGTTGTTATCCATCTCGGAGTTTCTTTGTAGTAAGTTTTGTCTTTTAACATTGTGCTTCACTAGCACTAATATCCTTTCTTTTTCAGCTTTGCCAGTTAAACAAAGATGACTTACAAATAAACTGTTTTAATAGTTGATGACATGGCATTGGAAAAATCTTTGGGTGCTGTTGCTTTCTGGGAGTAAAAATGTTTGTTGGACTTTATCTCAGTAAGGTTTCTTCCCTGTTTTTATTAGCACAATAAGTAGCAAATAAATGAGGAACAAGAACAGAGGTAATACGTAAGTCATCTGCAATTGAATGCATCTCATTTCTTTTAATGGTAGATGGATAAAAAATATTCTGTGATCATCCTTACAAAGTTAGAGTGAGGTAGTGATACAGGTAGTTAGTGCTTGATCGGATTTTGGTATTCAGACTGTTAAAGGATGAAACAATATTTTTAAAGACATATTTTCATGCTTCAATGCTTTTACATGATAGAAATCAGTCAATGAATAATGTCTTTTCACATAACAAAATGAATGGTTGTAGCACAAATTGTTCTAGTTTCTATAAGAATAGTGATTTTTTTTTGTTTAAAGTTTTGTGTTTTTTCTTGCCTTATTTCCAGATCTAGAATTGGGGTTTAGTTCAATTCAACAAATATTTATTAACCATTTTCTATGTAGCAGGCCCTGTTATAGTTGCTTTCAGGAAGACTAAAGTTCAGATAATAAGAATTGAAGTCTATTTTTGCATTGTGTCTTAATTGTTCACATTAGCTGTGTCCTCTAATGTTGCCTATAAGATGGAATAAAATTACCTTTCACCAGTATATGAACTAATGTGTGTTTTACTGGATAATGTATGAACTGGCATATAGCTACTATGTGGTGATGTAAGTGCCTTCGCAGTTAGATGTTACACTTTTGTGGGGAAAGATTGGCAGAGATTAGACCAGTTCACTCATTCATTGGTGATAGTAGTGATTGAAACAAAGGCCTTTGCACCGAGCTATGCACCCAGGATTTTCTTTTTTTTTTCCTCAGACAGTTTCTGGAAAGTTCCCCTGGCTGGGCTCCAGTTTGTGACCTTTCTGTCTTAATTTTCATAGTGCTGGGATTATAGCATGTGCAGCTTCTTTCGGCTGGGGCTAGTTCTTATTTTGCATATCCCTTCATCCTTGTCATTGAATATCTAGTCAAAATACAGTGCCTCAGTTAATATTGGCTATACCAATTTTTAAAAAGTCTTAAGTATTAGTTCATGAATAAGTAACCTATAAGCCCTGGTTTTTTTAAGAGGATTTTGAATTTTACAAATTTAGTTGATGGAGCATCTTTAAATGCAATGTTAGTAATATTTAAAGTCTTTAAAACTAAGTTATTAAATGCTTTTTATTATGGAAGTCTTCAAACATTTATAAATGTAGAGAATAGGATGATGGTGCTTTATTAGCCAGTTTTAGCAATTATTGACACATAGGGAGTTTTGTTTTAGATCTTTTTTCACCCCTACTTCCACACTGAATTTTTAAAGTAGTTTCTAGATATGGTATTTTATTAAGAAATATTTGACTGTGTACCTAAAAGTCAAAGAGCTTCTAAAACAGTTACACTACAATGCTACTCTCATAGCTCAGAAACATTTCCTTGATATGAAATATTCAGTCAGTGTTCAAATTTCCTGGGTTCCTCATAAACATTGTTGTACAATTGACTTATTTCAATTAGAATCACAACTAATGATCACTCTTTACAATTTTTTAAGTATAAAAGTGATTATCTCCAGCATCAGTGAACCAAAAGATGGTCAGAATAAACACAAATCCATCAACTATTTAATGGCTGTTTAAAATGGCTTGTCAGCTAAGATCTGTCCAACTTCGTGATAATCAAAATCACATTTGATTTTTGTTGATAGGTCTTTCAAGTATTTTTTAAATGTATAACCTTCCCTTTTCTCTTTATTTGTTACTTGTTAAAGACTTTAGATTATTTATTATATGGGGTATTTCACATTTGTGTTTTGCTAGTTCCATGGCAGTGGATGAAATAAATGTGTTTTATATGCTTTTCAATTGTAGAAATCACTTCTCAAGAAGTTCAGCTGCTGCAGGTGGACAAAAGGGAAAATCTTACTACACCATTACTTTCACTGTAAATTTTCCACATAAAGATGATGTTTGCTACTTTGCTTATCACTATCCATATACATATTCAACTTTACAGGTGAGCATTCAAATTAAATTGTATTGTTGACTATTATTGTGAATTATGTTTATGTGTCAGGTAATTGAAGAAAAATTAACTAAATATTTTAAGGAAAGGGATTAGTGTTGGAAGTTTCAGAAACAGTGCTTATTGGAAACATTAAAGAGCAAAAAGTGGGAATGCATTCTTTAATGAAAAAAATATGAAGGAAATTTGACACGATTTTTCTCCCCATCTTTGGTAGAAATTGACAGTTCTTTAAGATTCCATGATTAACAGATTTTAAACTAAGTGAGAGTTCTACTTGATTTTAGCTAGAAGCATTGACTCACATAGAAAAGAAAAAGTGGATGTAATGTGGAAAAATTCAAAAATTTTTTTTAGTAAGAAACCTCTTTCATTGTGGAATTGTAGATCCCAGTTCCTTAGAGTATCGGATATGAGTTGTTTTGTTTTGAGGTTTTAAACATTTGCATTGTAAAGCAAGACAAACTAAATCAAGTAGTTAAATGACCAACTGTAGTAGATTTATTGCCAGAACAAAATAGTTAATCCTGATGGCCAAAGATGAGGAATGTGTTATCAGTTTACAAGAAAGAAATTGGAGTGATATAATTAGAAACAAGCTTCTAAAGTGTAAGAGAAGAGGAAAAGAAAAAACAAAACAAAACACGGTCTGTAGAGCAAGAGAGGCTGAGAATTCCGATTGAGCCTTGGTATATTTAAGGAAGGTCACAACTTGCAGTAAAGGTACAATGTTCTGGAGTCTTGCTGCAGCAAATGCTGTGGCACCAGAATATGGACTTAATGACTGGATAACTCCATTTTGGGGTAATGCATCTTAGGGAAATAATTAGGAATGTATATAAAATGTAACTTGGTACATTTTTGTTCACCTGGTTGTATGTTATTGTTCTGTATGAACCTTACTTGGTATAGTTAATGGTATATGTACTTAGCCACTTTCTCAAATTTCCCTGGTGTTTGAACTTCAGCTGGCTGTGAGACTTTTAGATAACAGTTTAAGAACTGGATTCAGTTCTAGTTATATGTAGGTCTCCATGCATTATTTCTATATTTTATAGGGAGTTTTAAAATGATTTTATATTTTGTTTTTAAATTTTTATCAAGATGCATCTTCAAAAATTGGAATCTGCACACAATCCTCAGCAAATCTATTTTCGAAAAGATGTGTTATGCGAAACCTTGTCTGGAAATAGCTGTCCCTTGGTGACTATAACGGCAATGCCAGAGTCTAATTATTATGAACATATCTGTCAATTCAGTAAGTCTGCTTACACTCAGATTATCAATCGTTGTCACTTATTTTTCTTTGCTTTCTGTATATTTTAAAATGAAAATAATACTAAGAGCAGATGTTAAGAGGACTAGGCTCTGTCCGATTCTCTTGGGACCTGGCCATGGATGCAGGGCTGAGCCTCAGAGTCTGCATCTTGATGGAGGAAACCATTTTCTTATTCTTAGCCTTAGAATCTATTGTGAGTTAGAATACAGCATAGCATTCAAAGTTCAGGTGACATCCATTAATTTATTGGCAGCCAATTGTATTTAGAAATAAAACAAACCATAAATCTATCAAGTTTTTTGATTGCTACCTCTCTGAACAGCTATTTGTTTTCTACTGCCATTTATATTTTTCAGTTACTACCAACATATAGTTGTGATAGAAAAAAGATATAGTTGTACACAGTATCTGATACTGATGAGAACATATTTTTTAGGCAATAGAAAGAACTCATTATATAAAAACTTGAGTAATGAGTTGAATGATTTTTTTGTAGACATATATCTGCACATAATGAAAAATTTTTTTGGTAAATCTCTGAGCAGATCTACAGTACTGTTTTTTTTTTAACCTCTTGGTGTTTATCATAGTGAGACTAGAAATAAGATTATATTGTCTTTCTTTCACCCTTGATGTTTTAAAAATAGTTTTATATTTTAAACTTAACAATTCTTTCTCAAATCAAGTTTACATTAAAAAAATTTTACATGTTAGATTAATCATCAGGAAATAAATAGGACAGTACTTAAATACTGTTCATACTTCAAGCTCCTTTCAGGACATGGTTTGTATTGCTTTTGTATTTGTTTTCTCCATAGAGCCTAGTGTAATGTATGTACTGTGCTTTACTATATGCATATTGAGTTTCACTGAGAATCTATAGCAGAATTTACTGAGTAGAGACATTTTTAAGTGAAATGTCATACAAACTTTTAGTAGTTACTCATTTTAATTTGAGATTTTATGTGTACTTTAGGAAATCGCCCTTATGTTTTCTTATCTGCTCGGGTACATCCTGGAGAAACCAATGCAAGTTGGGTTATGAAAGGAACATTGGAATATCTCATGAGTAATAACCCTACTGCTCAGAGCTTACGGGAGTCCTATATATTTAAAATTGTCCCTATGCTAAATCCAGATGGTGTCATCAATGGAAAGTAAGTTAAATAATAGTTACCAAAATATTGTAGATTACTGTGGTTGTCCTATATAAAGTTGGTGAAATAGTAGTATCCAGGTTAATTCACAAAGCAAACCCAATGATTTTTTCTAGAAAAGAAAACTTTTTTGTTCATGAATTTATCTAAAATAAACTTTTAAATGAAAATATATTTTGTGTTCTGGATACAGTATGGTATTTTAAGAATTCTGTATCCATGAAAATAAGATTTCCTAAAATCTTGGTCTTGCTTGAATTGTTTAAAACATGGTCAGGAAACATAAGCAAATACTCAGTAAATATTTGAGAAGTATAATATATATTCACTTGAACCCACAATGTACACCTATTTGAAATACAGGAATAAGTTCACCATAGTAAGTCATAAACTATGTAAGAGTTTATTGGTGCCAGTTTTTCTCCTTTTATGCTTATGTTTGTGTAGTCATCGCTGTTCTTTAAGTGGGGAGGATTTGAACAGACAGTGGCAAAGTCCAAATCCAGATTTACATCCTACTATTTACCATGCAAAGGGGCTGCTACAGTACCTGGCTGCAGTGAAGCGTTTACCTCTGGTAAGCAGCAATAAGTTGCTTTTACTTTGGAGAGTTAAAAGATGTTTTATTGATTAATGGTTTCACAATTTTGTATATTATTTTCTGGTTATAAAAAGCTGTGTTGATAATTTCAAGTGCAGTGTTTTAAAAATGTCTCTTTCTGTCTTTTTCTGTAGTCATATCCTGTGTGGTAATTGTGGTGTCAAGTTAATATGATATATTCGTTTTTATTTTATCAGATTGGTTGTTTATAATTCTTATAAGCGTTTTACTTTGATACTTTATTTATATATATTGGTAGTCTTTGGTTATAAGTTTTATTATTTATTTATTTGGTACTAGAATCGAACTCAGGATCTTGCGCTTTGCCAGGTAGGTGCTGTATGGTTATAAATTTTAGTAATATTTAAATTCACTGTTTGAACAACACTGAGGTAACAGTATGTATTTTCCAAATTTCAAGCTAGTAGAAGCTGATTTCTGAGTTCTTTTTTCAGCTCTGGAACTGATGTCTCCATACATACATGGGAATGTGGCTGCATGGTGTGAGACGGTCCTGGACTTTATATGTACAGTACTCTTGTTCTGTTCCCACTAGGTTTTTATTTTAGTGTTCTGGTTATATTAATGTCTAATTAGTCTGTCTTCTGTGGGGAAAGATAGGAAAAACCTTGGGAAATCAACTGCACTGGCCCATGTGTGTAACCTCATCCCTGGAAGACAGAGGGAGATAGTCTTAAGGCCAGCCTGAGCAACCTCACCAGTACCCATCTTGAAAAAAGGAGAACTTTGTGGAAGGTTAAAGTTGACTGGGACTTTATCGTTTTTTTATTTTTAAAATGATGCTTTTCAACATTATATTGAAAACTTTTAAATAATTTTTCATGAAATCATTTTCATACTCTTAAATTACGTCAGTGTTTTAGCAAGTCTTTGAGCAGATGATGGTGGCTGTGGATTTTAACTATAATTGAATTTATTGTGTTTTAAATGGTGAGTAGTAGATAGAATAGAAAGGGTAGAACATGTATATCAGTTTAAGACCTCAAAAGACTTAGCAATTCTGGAATTAATTGTAGATCCATTCTAAAGTAGATATTATTACTTATTAAATGCTAGTTATTTTACAATAAAAAGATCAAGAAATACAGAATTTAACTATTCATTGGCTTGATACTACCTTTCTTGACAATACATAAATTTGAAGGCCTTTAATTTTTAACACATACTATCTTTTCAAGGTTTATTGTGATTACCATGGCCATTCCCGAAAGAAGAATGTGTTCATGTATGGCTGCAGTATCAAGGAGACAGTGTGGCATACCAGTGACAGCGCAACTTCCTGTGATGTCATGGAAGATACGGGATACAGGGTAACTGTTACGAACAGTTCCTGAGCTTTTGAATTTGAAACATACGAAACTCTAAAATATAATTTAACATTTACAAACTACTCAAATTCAATAAATGTTAACATCTTCCCCTTTTTGTTTCAGATCTTTCATCATAAAGATTTGCTTTTCATGTTTAGATTTTTCATGTATTTGGAATTTATTTTTATGTGAGATACAGAGATCTGGTCTTGTTTTGCTCTTAGTTACTTGTCTCAGCACCGTTGACCATGCATTGCATCCTTTCTGTGTATGTTGGGGAAGCCATCTTTTAATGTCCCATGCTTCTTGATTGTGTGCATATATTGTGAGCCCACCAGTCGTTATAATTATCATTGTTCCTGTTTCTGTGCATGCATGTCATTATCATTCTGCTGTGTTTATAATTAGTGTTGATATCTGGGAGGGTAAATCTTCCTTTGTTACTCTTTTAAAATATTTGCTTGACTCTTGTTTTGTCTGTTCTTCTTGATGAATTATAGAATCAGTTTGGGACATGCTCTGTTTGAATGTAGATCGGAGTAGCATTGAACCTAGATTATGTTGGAGAGAATTATTATAATAATGTATAGCATAGCTACTGTGAACATTACCTGTCTTACTCAGTTTTCCTTTTTTTTATTTTTAAAGACATAAAATTTCTCCAAATATGTGTGACCTTTTTTTAGATTCAGTTCCAGAGATTTTTGAATACTGTAGCTGGGAATGAAATCTACTCCCCTATCTCCCTGCCTCTAGTTGATCACTGATGATGCATAGGAAAATCACTAACTTCTCAGAAATTTCTCTTTAAGTTTTAGATCCTCCTGCAAAGGATTACATATGAGAATCTCATTTCTCAGCAACAACACTGTAAGCAAAAACGTAGTGGAGTTATCTTTCAAACTTCTTAGCTAGATTTCCAACTTACAAATTTGGTATTTCATCTTATCAGAAAGTAAGAAAGCAAAGAATATCTTCTCAGATATTGAAAGTGTCAAAAAATTTGCCCATAATCTAGAAGCTACTTGCCAGAAACAAGGAATATTCTGAAAAGAAACAAGAAAGAAGTAAATTAAATCAAAGAGAGAGAGAGAGACACATATGGAGGGAGGCAGGGAGGGAGGGAGGGAGAGAGAGAGAGAGAGAGAGAGAGAGCAACCTCAGAATAAGAGTGAAGGTAAACCCCCAGAATGTAAGTAAAATGTCCATGTCAACATTCAACAAATGTTACTGCCACTACCTTTGGAGAGTTTGAGCCTTATTAAGTTAGGCCACATTAAATGAATTAGATGACCAAAGCTCAGGGATATGAAGAGAAATATTTAATCTAGATCCAGATAATGTTATAAAAGTGGGATTAGCAAGAGGCCCAGAGGATTGAACAAAGCTGACAAAAGCAAACTCAAGACCTTTCCAGTACTGTTCTCTGGATCACATCACCACCATCACCATGCTTGTTTATACATTGTATTTCACTTTTGAGGAATTCTGACTTACTCTCTTGGAAATAAATAGGATTACACATTCATAAGACAATATCTCCCTCATTTAAGAATTATATTGTTAATTTTTGTGTGTTGTTTGATTAATGTATTTTTCTTCATACTGAATAATAAGTTCCCTGAGCCTACCAGATGTGTCTCATTTGTTCGCTATGTAGCATGGTATGTTATTCCCATGACCACTCAGTAAAGATGTTAGATGGGTTGATGAGGGAATAGGCAGACATGTGGGAGGAAAACACAAGATATAGTCCCGCTGTAAAAGAGAAATTAAATATCTTTGTTCTCAGTTTTCTTAGTATTTTATTAATTGTCTTGACCTAAATTTCTCTACTTGGTTAAATACCTGGATTTTGTTATAAAAGGAAACATAAAATAATTCTGTGGGTTAGACAAAATAAGTGATTCGCTTTCACCCTGCAGTACGTTTCTTAAGATGCTGGTTGATACTTCAAATGGTTTCATGACCCCTTAATGGTTTTATGACCATATGTGGCTCGTAATTCCATTAAACACAGTTGGACTGTATTTCTTTCAGGCTCCTCAGATTGTTCACCTGCTAGTGACCATCTGGTATTTCCAGGTTGTTCGGGTGTGGGTACAGAAAGAAGAAAATGTTTCTCAAATTTGGTGTTCTTATGCATTTATTCCTTTTGCTGCTGTAACACACGACCACAAATACTGTACAGGGATGTAAAGCAATCTAAATTCATTAACTTACAGTTCTGTAAATCTCAAGTCTGGTATAGGCCACACTCTATTTGTTGATTATTTTGCTGCTTCTGAGAAATATCTATTCATTTTAATTGTCCATTTTTGATTGAGTCTTTTATTTTGGGTTTCATTTTCCTTGAGCTCTTTATATATTCCAGAGTTAGTTCTCTATTCAAGAAATAGCTAGCAAAAGTGGTTTTTAAAAATTAAGTTTATTTTTAATTAAGTTAATTATTTTATTAATTAACTTTAAGTTTATACATAATGATTAAATTTGTGACAGGAAATTTGTAGCTGTACTTGACATATCTTCCCATTCCATAGGTTGTATTTTTGCTGTGTTGCTTTTCTTTTCTGTGCAGTTTTTAAATTTGATATGATCTCATCTGTTGATTTTCCATATTGTTTGTTGTGCCATTGGGTTCTGTTCAGAAAATCCTTACCATATAGCTTTTGTGTGAAGTTCATTTTTGGTTATTTGTTTCTTTTTGCTTCAGTATTCTGTAATACAGGCAGTTAATGTCATTGCTAGTATACAAATTAGTGAAGTAAAACTTGTGGGTCTTCCGTTACTTAGGTGTCTAGGATGGTTGTGATATGTTTACAATTCAGATCTTCTGTGCTTTCCACTCCATCACCATGTCCTTCCTGCCATGGTGATGCCTAACCAAGCCCCCCAGCTTGTTTCCCAAGAAGCCCTTTGGTGACATAACCACAGCTCATAGCAGAATTTGAAAGAACATTTCTTTTTATGGTGTTTTTCCTTTCTCTTTTTTCATCTTCCCAAATTAAAAAAAAAGTTTAGACTGGTATAAAAAATGGAAACACTCTAGAAATAAAGTTAGTCATCTCTCAGTCATTCTCATAATGCTAGTCTGTTTGACCATGTATATTAGGAGACTTGCCCCTAAACCCCATCCCGCTTTAAATGTTTATATGTACAACATCAGTCTTTATTTTGGTTTTCTTTTAAAACAGTGATTTGCTTTTGCATATACTAATACTTGTTGACCATTTTTTGACATCATATTTGGATGTCAGTCTTTTTAATGGTCATGTGAGATTTCCATTGTGCATTTTGCAAAAGCACAATTAGCAAAATTATACTATTTGTGCAGTAGTCCCTTGTTAGTGGTCATTTGATTACCCTGCCAAATTGTTCTTGTAAAGATTACACAAAATGATACTCTCAAAAATTGTACCATGAATGATAGTTCACATCATTATATATTATATCTACTTTGTCATAACAAAATAATATTTGATTATCACAGTTTACGTAATTATAATTGAAGGTGAGGGTCTTTTCATATTTTGCAGTTAAAATTTTTTTATTTTAAAGTGAAAAAAGAATAAAAATGATACAAATTTCAAAACAAAATAATAGATTAACAATGGTTACTATATTGCATATTGTTATTGTCAAAGTAGTTGTTCTGATTACAAGATATAGGCATGAAAAAATGATCAATCAAACAATGAGAGCACAAACCATTCTTTTTGATGAGATAACAGAAATTAGTAATTATCTGTTGTGTGTACATATAGATACGTATATATATAATCTTTTCCCTTTTTTTTTCACCTTTCCCCATCCCAGTTTGTGATCTCTTTTAAAATAGCCTTTTCTCATTTATTAGCATTTATACTGGTTATCTATTTACTATTTTTAAAATAACTCTTTGGATACATCATAAATGTTTTTTAATTTATTTGTGCTATGTAGTAGTTTAAAACTTTTATCATTTGGTATCTTATTTTTAATGCCTTTTGGATTTCATTTAATGAGGAGTGACTTCAGATTCTTTTTTCTTAATTCTTGTCTTTTATCTTAATACTTGGCCCATCAATATTGAATTATGAGTCTTTTCTCTGATGATAACTAACACTTTTGGTTTTAACTTCTAGGTTTCATTCTAGACTCTCTGTATGGCTGCGTTACAGTTTATCTTTTTTGTGGTGGATAACCTAAGTTGCATCATTTCTCTACTCATAGCTTCCCCTTTTTTTCTTTTTGAGAATTTCCCAGAGTGTACTCTCATATTCCATTTTCAGGTGAACTGCAGAATAATTTTAAGTTGGAAAATCTTGGGATTGCTTTGATTGTGATTCTCTTTGACTTATTAATTTAAAGATAATTGATATTTAATCTCTAAGTCTTTCATAGATAAATTTTCTTACTATTTTAAACTTGTTTTTCTTCATATTTTAAGTCAAGGTTTTCTTAAATGAGTGTGTTGTGCTTATTGGTTGTTGTGTTCCTTCCTTTCCTTATGTTTCCTAACTGGTAACTATTTGTTTAGAAGAGCAAGAAAATTCTAAATTAGCAAGTGGAATGTTTGGGGTGTTTGAGTAGCATGGACCTGTATAGTACTCATCAACAAATTTTAAATTAAAATAGTTTCTTGGTTTATTTTATAATTTCTATTTTTACAGACCTTGCCAAAAATACTGAGCCATATTGCTCCAGCATTTTGTATGAGCAGCTGTAGCTTTGTGGTAGAAAAATCTAAAGAGTCCACGGCGCGGGTTGTGGTGTGGCGGGAGATTGGTGTGCAGAGGAGTTACACCATGGAGAGCACGCTGTGTGGCTGTGACCAAGGAAAATACAAGGTACAGCACATCACAGTGACTTTCAGGCACGAAGCAAAGAAGATAGCCTCTTGTTTCATTTGCTTATGATTGTCAGTTACACACTAAGTAGACATTTGTTTTAAGTTATATGTAACTGTAGTAATGGAATTGAATCATATTCTGTCATAAAGACTAGTTTGTGGTGAGGGTTGGAGGTTTTTTTCCCCTTTTTTTGTTTTTTTGGTTCTTTTGTTTCTGTTGGTTTTTTTGTATACCTATATTATAAAGCAGCACAATTTATAATAGATATGTCCATCAGTACGTGGATAAAAAATGTGGTATTTATATAAAGTATTGCTCTGAGTAAAGAAGGTTAAACTTAGGTCATTTGTAGGAAAATTAATACACTTAGAGACAATGTTAAGTGAAATAAATCAGACACACATGCTTAAACAAGAAACCAAAAATATAAATAAAGAGCAGAATAAAAGATAGATAATAGGAAATAGGAAGATAGATCTTTCGCAGATAGGGAGAGGACCAAGTAATAGAGGGAAGGAAGGGGAGCAGGGATAGGGGATGAAGAAAGAATTAAGATGTGTTATGTGCAAATACTGACTCCCTATGAGAAATGCAATCGATATGTACTGCAAAAATATGCTAATAAAAAATGAAAATTGAAAATAAATAGCTTCCTTAGGATTTTAAGAAATTCTTGATTGTTTGAGTCTACTAACCTTCCTAATTTTTAAGAAAGCACAGTAGAGCACACATTTAAATACTGGTTAGTAATTTATAAGCTGCTCTGTAAGTAGTGAGCTATTAATGAAAAATTTCTGTAGTTTTAATTAATTAAATGTCAGTATGGTTTTATGCATTTAAAGTTAAATACGTTAGACTTATGAAGTGACTCATTTGCTTTAGTTTTTTGTATGTGACTTGTAATTTCATATATCATTACCTGATTTTTTTTTTCTTTACTGAAATGGTTCTTCTTTTGTCATAGGCTTTTGTTAAGACAACCAGGTTTCACTTTTGAAATTAAGGACAGTCAAGTGCTAGCTAATTTAGGATTTTTTAAATTTTAAAGATTAAGGACTTAATGGACAATAAATTGGACCTTACATAAGCAGTAAGCAAAGCTGAATGTATTTTCCTTGCCTTGGCACACAGAGGTTTTTGGACTTTATGCTAATAGAAATGGAACACACATTGTTTCATCTTCTTTTGGTTTTTGTTATAGGAAAGTAGGATACTGAGTCCGGTAGAGATTTTTATATATCTTTCTTGAAGATGATTTTAACTTTGTGGTGGGAAAGAGTTAAAAATCTAATTGGTTAGCTTTAGAAAAGCAGACATGAAATAGTTGATATCAAAAGTTTAGGAGAACCTACACAATGATTTTTTTGTTGTGACTAGAAGAAAATTACATTGATTTGCAAATGATCTTTGCACTTTTGAGACCTACTGAAATATAACTTACTGAAATTCCAGTACTTTTTATTGGCTGACTCTTCCCTAATTTTTCATTGGTCACAGTGCCGGTGACAGTGGGGAAAGAATAACAGTGTTGGTCCCACTGCAGCCAGGCCCTGTCCGTCATTGGTGTGTCGGTGGGCAGTTTCCACAAGGCTTGCACATCTCACTGGCCTTGCATGGGTGTGTGCCAGGGAACAAAACTGAGGGCCACTCTTGCATGAGAGCATGCATGACTCTTGGGAGAAACCCTGGGCCATGGGATGTGTAGAAGCAGACTGAATTACTTCACAGGGAGCAGGTTAGTGTTTGCGGGGTGGAAAAGCGACTTAAAGGCTCACTATCTGAAAGCAGCAGCCTGCGGGAGGAAGGCTCAGGGGTGCGAGCCCATGGGACTTAGGAGCCTCTTAAGATCACTGAGTATTCTTTTATATTTGTGTTAGACTGAGACTTTCATTGGACTTTTCAGAATATTTTTATATTTCAATAAATTTTTTGGTCATTGAAAAAGCAAAAATATTTTGAAACAAAATGGTAAGGCAATTTTCTAAGAAGTTTTCTTTGGAAATGTAACTGTGTAAACTTAAAAATAAAATGGATATCTAATAAATACTCATTTTTCTTTCTGTAATTTAGTTCAGAGAGCATTCATTGGTTTAAAACCACAAGAAAGCTGGAGATGGAACACTTGAAAGAAAGACACAAGGCCCTGGGCCCAACACCCAAAAAAACTGCCTAAACTGTACACCAAACCAAACCACCACAACAAAAAACTATGAATGAGAAGTGTTTTTCACTAAGCAGTTTTTTTTTTTCATGTCCAGCATGCACGACTTTAGTAACATATGCTTTTAAAAAAATTATTAAGCTTTTTAAGATAAACTTTAGGTTCTTATTAAATTGAGTGGAAACTACAGAGTTTCCATATAGTCCCTGTTTCCACACATGCACATAGGTGTACATTTTAAACTTGTTAGCTAATAGGTATGTTTTAAGAAACAGTTTCATCTTCAACATTTTTATATTATTAATTTTAGACTATAAATATTTTTATTTTCTTTTACCTAATTCAGAAACAGATTTAGAACACTTAAATTAAGAGGGTAAATGAATGTTCTACTAGTCAGTTAGGGCGTATTTCCTAGAATAAAGGAGATGTCCAAATTATTTAAACAAACAAACAAATAAAAATTAAAACTAATCATTGTAAAGCTGGGTACTTCATGCAGAGTAGCAGTCTTTGTTTAACTTTCTTTAGTTACCATGTGCCTTAGGAACTCATTTAGCCTGAAAAAGTATTTCATACCTTCTCTTTAATTACATCTGCTCTCATCTACAACTATAGGCTTTGTTGGTAAAAGGATTTTTTTCATTTTAGAAAAGCAGTATCTTAATAGCTCATCTTTATGGTTTTATGTGGTAACATTTAACTTTCAGTAATCTTTATATTGTGTATTGGGAAACTGTTGGTTAAAGAAGGAGTAGGGAAATTGAGACAGAATTTTCTTTTTGCTTTAATAGAATTTGAAATAGGTGTTCTTTTTTTTAAATGTTGTATTAGTCCATGTGTGCAGTGTGTCATAAACACACTCACTGTGGGGAGTTGGTACATGCAATGTGACTCTCATTTCTCTTTACGTCCCCTCCCCTCCCCTGCCTTCAGCTCTTAGTTGCTTCCCTACTTGAAATAGACATTCTTACTTGACATGAAACACAGAAAACTATTTGGCTAATACTTCATCGACTTATATTTGGTTCTTTTTCTGACAGTTACTTTTTTATTGGCTTAAAAAAACCACACAGTAAAAATAAAATCACACAGTGCAAGTATCTAAAAGGTAATGTTCAAATGTACATATTGGAGCTTTGACTTAACACTGTAGTATTTCAACTCTGGCAACCAGAGTAGTGAATTGCAAAACATACTAGCAAGAGCTGATGAATACATGGTTTCACTCATGAACTGCAAGAAAAACATGAATCATAAAATGTTCATTTATTTTTCTTTTCCCAGTTTGTTGGTAAAACTAATTTGCCTGAGTGGGTGAAAGTAGACCTTTTAGAAATAGCCTATTAAGATAGTTGTTTTCCTTTGTGACCTAAAATAATTGAATTCATATTGAGGAGACATATAATAATATATATCCTATTCCCTTATCAATTTTTAAATATTGTTAAGATAGTTATAATGTTTATATTATTTTAATGAGCTACAGCTAGATAAAAGCAAACTTTCTGATTTATAATTACATGTATAAAATTACTTTATTTTTAGGGGCTACAGATTGGTACTCGAGAATTAGAAGAGATGGGAGCAAAATTTTGTGTTGGTCTATTGCGTTTGAAAAGACTGACATCTCCATTGGAGTATAACCTGCCCTCCAGCCTGCTTGACTTTGAAAATGACTTAATTGAATCAGGCTGCAAAGTAACTAGGTAATATATATTTGTTTTATTCTTTTAAGTTGCAATATACCACTGTACTTCAGTAGAGTATTGGAAAAGCAGGGAGATCTTATTAGCAAAGGCCATGTTTAGAATTAATGTAATTAACTTCCCATATCTAATATTTGTTCCAAACTGTGGTAGTGTTCTTGATTTTAATGTTGATATTCAAATGAGATTTCAATGAAATATTCTTATGTTTGTTTTTAATGTTCTTAATAGTTTATTTTAAACTTAAATATGTGCAATGAAGAAATATTCCATTTAGATAATATCTAAATTAAGAGGACTTAGTTAGGATTCATGTTTTAAATTTTACTTTTTTAATGTCTACATGTATCAGATGGCTATTCAGTAATCTTCTGATTATATATGTTAGAAGTAGTTAAATTTATCATCCTTTTAACAATTATAAATAATTAACAGATTTATTTAAATCTGCCAAATATTCATTTAAAAAGGTAATCTTTTGCTTTTTTTTTTTGTCTTTTTTTCGTTTTTATCGGTACCAGGGATCGAACTCATGACTGCCTGCTTGCAAGGCAGGCACTTATGCCACTGAGCTAAATCCCCAGCCCCTAATCTTTTGCTTTTAAAATTCAGTGTAAAGCCTGGCGTGGTGGCTCACGCCTATAATCCCAGAACTTGGGAGGCTGAGGAAGGAGGATTGCTACAAATTAGAGGCCAGTCTGGGTTACACAGTAAGTTCAAGGCCAGCTTGAACTGGATAGTGCAACCTTGTCTCAAAAAAAAATTATTGTATATGAAATTGGCAAAATTACAGGTACAGAGAGATAATTTGATACTATAAATCTTAACCATAGTCCCATAACCTAATACATTATAGTTGGGTATATATGGATGAGAATAGTCCGATTTTTTAGAATCTTCATGATTTTTGTGGATTGTTTACGAGGTATTAACTTGTCATCAGATGTGTTAGTTTGTTGCTATGTGATTGCATATATCAGTACAGCAATTTGAAATGCAGCAAACTATTAACTGGGATTTTTTTCTTAACAGATATGATAATTTAGACAAGTGTTGTTCTCTCCTCTTCAAACTGCTTCCTAAACAATAATGGAAAGGACTAAAAAAATTATCAGTTCTCAGTGATATTTAGAAGTCTCATTTTGTTTTAATTCATGTTAGACTACACATTACAGTTGTTTTAGATATTCTGAACTGTCATCATGAAAACCTCACAGGCTATGCTCTGTTGATCTCACTCTTACAAGGAGCAAATATATATTTGGAAAATCATCTATTTTGAAGAAATACATTGTTACATATAGTGCTATGCCACATGTTTTTAACATTTTGATAATCATTAGTTGGTTTTCTTTGTAACTATTTATTTTATTTTATGTAAAGGTAGTGTTATGAGAGTGAATTCATAGGTCTTATCCAACTCTGTAAGAAGACAGTAGACAGAAAGGGTTAGGAACTGCTCCTTCTATCACTGTGCATATAAAAATACAAACAAAGTAGTCAGTAGATAGGTAGTTTCCCTTTGATATTTTACTCTCTCTTCTGCTTATTGACTTAATATTGTTATACAACCAGTCACCTTTTCCTCCACACTGTTTTTCTTCTTCCTCCATCTCTAGAGAATTTTGTACATATGTCTGATTTCTCCTTCATGTACCTCGATGCTTTTGAGGGTTACAGGTTTTCAGTCTTGAGTTGTCTGTGTCTTTTCATTACTGACTTTAAGTTACGCATCTTTTGCAAGAGTATCATGGACACTGTGTTCTCTCATTGCATCTTGGGGTGGTGTGCAGTGTGTTTGTCCCATTACTCAACATGTTACTGTTTTCTCTTAACTAAGATGGTATCTGCCAAATTTCTCCATTGCAAAGCCAGTTAATGATAAGTATTTTTACAAAGATATACTTTACGACTATGTTAGTATTCCATTTTTCATCAAACTTTCAATTTGTTCATTTAAAAATTATACATTTTGAATGTATGTCACTGTCATTTATGCTAATTCTCAAAATTACCCCAATTTGGCCCCTTCCACCACTCCTCACATGTCTGCATCTCTCTTTAATGACTCTGTTGCTATATGGTGCAGCAGGATTCCCAGATTGTCTTTGTATGGACTTTATTCCAGTTTGGAATTGGCCCATGTCTTAAGCTTTCTATTGCTCTTTCGTAGAAAAATGGTATTTGTATGAAAGCCAAGGAGCTGCTTTTATTTAGTTTGTTGTTGTTTCTGACAGATTATTTCATTAGACAGTGATAGAATACACTTAGACATATGTGCCCTTGCAGGCAGACATGTACACACCCACACAAATGCAGGCATGATCTGAAATCCTGAGCTCATGGTGATACCTCTCATTTTAACTACCTTCTAAGCTTTTAATCTAGTTATCAAATTTCTCACTGCTTTCTTATTACTGACAAGCCTGGCTCTCGCCTATAGTTTTATTGCCTGTGCAGCCTGCCTATATATCTATTGTCTCCATCGTTCTCTCTGCAGGGCCTCCCAGGCTCCAAGCAGTCCAAAGTGGTGTTTTCTAAAAGTAACGGTTGTAGTCCGAGTGCTTGACAGGTGGGAGCTGCTCCTCCTTTGCTGAGTGCGTTCTGTTGTTGAGGTGTTTGTTGCAGGCTTCCTGTGGGCGGTGGTGCTCCAGGCTCTCAGAGATGGTAGAGAAATGAAAAGAGCCCTGGCTCTGAGGGGAGCTGAGGGTGCCCTAGAAGGAACACGGCTGCGTTGGGGAAGTGGTATTGATCATAGAAAGATACTGAAAAATTGAAAATAGCATACATGCTGGGTGTGGTGACAATATCTGTTATCCCAGCAGGCTGAAGCAGGAAGATCATCATGAGTTGGAGACCAACCTGGGGAACATAGTGAGTTCAAGGCCAGTCTGGACTACATAGTGAGACACTTGTCTAATAAAAAAAAAAAGGCATACACATTCTGAGAAGGCAGAATGAATATGACTTGAAAGATGTAGATGAGTTTTGATAAGTGAGTAGCAGCTGAACAGAGGAAGCACCATTAGCAGTGAGAAGTAGACTAATTTGGTAGGGTAGAAGGCTTAATCCAGAGCACAGATGCTGGCGATGAGGAAAGCCTGCAATGAAAATGTGTTCTGCTCTATGCTGGTGAGTAGATTTTCTGGAAGAGAAAAGCCCGTGTTTAAGCATGGAGTGATAATGGATCCATCCTGTATGTAAGGCAGAGTAAAACTCAAAATGTTTTGAAGCTTATAGTAGAGTGACAGCTCTGTGAAGCATGAGTCCCGAGCATCGGGGAGCCTTGAGAACTCAGTGCCGCAGATGGAGCTCTTCCTTGAGGCAGAGCCTCCTTTAGCGTGGCCCATACTGCTGGAGCACGGTCACTCAGTGTCCTGCCGTCTAATTAGTTGAATACTAGAGGACCAAAAATCTCATTTTTGTTAATTTTTATAAAATAATAGGAAATATAAAAATGATTTTATCAAAGGAGTAATAAAATTTAAAAAATGATTTTATCAAATGTATCCAGTGCAAAAACGAAATACCTGCCTGAGCGACACTCAGGAGGGACAGTGAATACCCAAAAACACACTGCCTGGGCAAATCATTAAGTGGTTAAAAGTACATTTGTTGTTGTTTTTGTTTCTGGTTTCCACAGAATACAGCTAGAGAAAGAGAATTGGTGAATTATTCCCATTTGTGACTTTAATATCTTCATGATAATTTGGTATTTATTGCACTGTCCTTTTCATTGCTTCTTTGGATCCTTTCAGGAATAATTGTAAATTCTTGTTATTACTATATTATTAGTAATTGGTAGAAGGCTTTAGACTTCTTTCTCATAGCTTTTGATATTCATTCATTAGTTTTTTCTGCATTGATGATCACTAGTAACAGTTACCTTGGAAATATAAGGCATTGTGAACTTAATGAGTCACTTGATTATATTTGTTGGAAGGGTAAAGGAGGAAAGTGGAAGATGCTCATGAACTTCTCTGTGATCACTTCATCCTGTTCTTTGCTTTTCCCCCTCCTCTCGTCCTTCCTGCTCTCCATCAATGGTGTTCATTTCTGTGATTCCATATTCTATTTGTATGTTGACAGCCTCATACCCCTCTTCTGAATGCCAGGCCTGTGTATTCAGCCTCCCATTTGATTACCATGAACACAAATAAACTTGCCTAAAATTCAGTGACTTCTCCCCAATTTCACACAAACACGTTGATCCTTGACCGCTCCATTGCACATATCACATTCTTGGCATCTCTTTCCCTAACCTTAATCCAGTTGATTCATAGCCCAGAACTTTCTGGTTCCTCCTCCAAAATACTTCATAGATCTCCCTATTTTTGTCCACCATGACACTAGATTGAGGTACCGTTATTTCTTGCCTGGACTGCTCCATCTGTGGACTGGTTTTGTTCGCTGTAGCATTTGTAGCCTCCAGTTTCACTGGTCACTCTTATTTGAAACCCTACAATTGTGTCCAAGTTGGAATGTCTGTCACCAGTGCCTCTGAAGTCCAGCATCAGCCATCTGTACCTTTTTTTCCTCTCGTCCTTCCTACTCTTACACTGCATTTCTACCACTACCAATGCACTGACATTTGGCTTTTGGAGCTATAGCAAAGGACTGGTTTTTATTTCTAATTTGTTCAAGATTGATACTTAAAATATGATAGAAATGAAATATAAAAGAATAGAGAACCTCAAAGAATACAAATAAAAGCTGCAATTTTTATGGCTTTTAACAGACATATAATTTCTTTAAAAATCATTATAGAAAGTTCCAAACACTTTAATTTTTATACTTTGATTATTCTAGACCAGTAAGAAAATTTGTGCATCACACCTTGAGTAGCAGTGTTGTAAAACAAACTAATCTCTCATTGATTGCAGTGTCTTTGTACTTGCTGTTGCTTCTGCCAAAAATGTTGGTGTCTTCACTTCTTTAAGATTTTATACTTATCTTTGATCTTGTGTAGTTTTAGCACATTGTGTCTAGCTCTAGATTTATTTCTAATATACCCCATTTGGCGTCAAAGATTTGCTTTTAATTTCAGGACTTTCTAATTTTGAAAATTTTGCAACTACTTTCTGTTTGAGAATCACCTTTTGTCTGTCTGTCATTGTCTGTCTGTGTCTCTGTGTCCCTCTGTGTCTGTGTGTCTCTCCTGCCTCGCCCTTACTTTCCCTCTCTGTTGTACTGGAGGTTTCCAGTCTCTTCTCCAAATGCCTCTTAATGGCTTTCTCATACTTTTGTCAGCTTCGGTCTAGGTGTAACCTTCAGTAATGTTTTATAATTTGCTCTTCAGTTTTTTCTAGTGTAGAGTTTATCTCTCAGAAGATTTTTATGACTCTGTATTTAACATGTCATTGTCCCTGCATGTTTTGTTTCACATTTTCTTGTTTAGTTTTACGGATATTATTCTTTCCTTTTCAGAGACCCTAACCCATTCAGAGTTTTTTGTAGATGTATTGTTGTGTTGTAAACTCATCAGGGTTTCTCCTCAGCCTTGTGGCATCAGGTGTATTCCGAGTGCTCCTTCTACCTCTGGCTTCTCAAGTTTCTCTTCCTGTGTTACTGGGCTGTGCCTCTTGTAGCATTTCAGGCGTGCCACTGTCAGTACTATGGATTCGGCTGGGCAAGTCACTGGGCTTATGAGGGTTTTGATTGTATGCACTGTATTCTTTGGCTTCCTAAAGTGGAAGGCCTCATGCCAGCTGTCGTTCCCAGGGCACTTGGTAAGTTCTCTGCTGCTCCACACTGCTCCTGCGGCCTTCTTGGGGACCCAGAGCTTGGCAGACCCTAGGCCCGCTTTTACGATGGTATTCTTTTCTGCTCCAAGGAGATACATATCTTTTTTTCTATCTGCATGTGTCTTACTTATTTTCTCTTTTTGTATTTTGTGTAATACCTAATAATTGCTCTGGGGATAGCAGGAGCTAAAGTATATACTTTCTGTAGCAGCTTTCAAGAGAGTTTTTCACTCACTCTTAACCCAGGGACCACCTCTGTGCTTCTCTACACTGTATAACACACCAAGCTTGGTGCCTTGGCATGCAGCCAGCCTAGCATCAAGCAGAATACCAATAGTTGCCTTTAAGATTTAGATACCTGGGGGGGGGTGTGAAGTGGGTGTCTGAAGTCACAGTGCTGTTTGTGCCAGTGTAATGAGGTTAAACTTAATCTTTTAGGCCAATTGGGAATTTTGAAGCCACCGGCAAATTATGCTAAGTGATGTTTAGCAAGAGGTATTTTATGTGTGATCTGAACTGTGGCACAGTCAGGGTTTGGGACAAAATTGATAAAACTTTAATAATAATTCTTGTATTAGGATCTTGTGGTGACTAAATTTCAATACCATCTCTCTGTACAACATTTTATCATAATTAAAAATATACCCATGTTTAAAGGAAGCCTAATTACCATCTTATATGATCAAACAGTATTTGGACCCAGTTTTTTCTTTCCAGTTGGAATGGATTCAAACAGCAGAAAACCAGCGATTTTGCAGTGAGTGGGGCAGTGGTATTTAGTATGTTTACAACACTGTGCATCCAGGAATCATGTTATCTCATTGCACTGCCACAGCAGACCCCTCTTGCTAGTCTGCTTTCTTCATCCATGGATTGGCCTACTCGGGATGTTTCATATAAATAGAGTCATATAGTATATGAACATTTATGTCCGACTTCTTTTACTGAACATGTGTTTATAGTTTATCCATGTGGCAATGTGTGTATTTAGTTTCTTTTTATGTATATCACATGGACATTAGCAAATTTGATGGGAATTGTTCCTACTGCAACTAATAAAATAAATAGAATATAAGCTAGAGAAAGCCTTCAAAGTATGTATATATTAGTTGTGTCTTATTACTTAAAAAAATCCAATGTGAAATGTTTTAATAGAGGTAAAGTGTCTTTCTAGTAAGAGAGTGATTGTAGCCCTTGGGACCAGTGAACATCCTGGTGTTCTTGGTTACAAGCTTTCTGTCTTGACCCTGCACTACAGTAGGACTGTGCTGGCAAAACAAGTACAAGATACTAATTGCTGTCCATCAAAACTACAGTGAGATACTAACTTCTGTTACACACACTGTGTGTGCAGCTAGTGTTTATACATATGGAGGAAGTTTGTTCCCTGTGAAAATTAACATAGATTATTTGTGGCTAAATGGTAATGCAGTATCTAATACCTATGTAGTAAAGCTAACTCAGGCATTGATATACTTTATAATGTGCAGTTTAGCACTTGCCAAACTTGTCAAGCTAATTTTTTTTTTTTGGTACCCAGGATCAAACTAACAACTTCACGTTTGCCAACCAGGCACTTACATCACTGAGCTAAACCCCCAGCCCCTCAGCTAATATTTTTTTAAAAGACCTTCCTTTTCAGTGAGTCTAGTTCACACACACAAGTCTAGGTGTGCTGAGAGTCAGTGAGTGCCAATACCTAGAAAACTGTCTGAGCTGCAGTTGTTACAGGAACACTTTTTGTGCAGAGTAACGCCATGTAATTGCAGGTCATGTCACTACCTCTGGTCTGCTGGAAGTTACAGTAATTTATAATAAAGTGAGCCATTTACATTTGTGCTAAGCAGATGAGGGACTGTTGTATTCACAATCACAGAGGACACTGAAGTCAATTAGGGAAATGAGTTTGCAACTGGCACAAACACTTTAGGATCCCAGTCCAGATTTGCTTATAGGAAAATCTTTGAGGCTCACCCTAAAAGAAGTGTTCCTTACACTGGAGATAAAGGCAGATGCCAAGCTGGATTGTTAGTCTAGGATTCAGTTATCTAGGAAACTAGGTGGTCTTTTATAGTTACGTGCTTGGTAGCCTAGTGTAAAAGGGAAATCCTCTCACATGTCTATTTGAGACTTTAAAATAAGAATGGATTATGTCAGAATAAAGAATCATGCAGTATATGTATTTATATTGGAAAATAGTGTATACTCTACTGAGTATGATGTTCCATATAGTCACTGGTATTTTTCATATCGTTACTGACTTCTTTTTCTCTTTGTTCTGTCATACTAAGAAAAGTTTTCAGATTTCTTCTATGAAAGTGAATGTGTCCTCTTTTTAATTTGTTTTATTTTGAGGTTATATGATAGACACATGTGGTAATTATATTATTTTATTGGGTTGACCCCTTTATCATTATGAAATGTCTCTCTTCCTTTAATTAGGCTTCTTATTTCACAATCTACTTTGTTCTCTATTAACATAGCTGTTCTTCCTTTCTTTGGTTAGTAGTTGCATAATATATCCTTTTCTAGCCTTTCATTTTCAGTTTTATATGTCCTCATTTAAGATACGAATTTTTTATGAACCCTATAACTGTATATTTTATAACCCAATCTGTCATCTTTGTCTTATAGTTGGTGTATTCACTCCTAATTATTCCATCTTTTGCTATCCTATAAGCTTGTTTCATTTTTAATTATTCTTCTGTTGATACCCAAAAGTTTATAAAGTGAATTCTTAGTTTACTGGAGCATAATGTAAATTATCGTTTCATCTCCTTGCAGGCAGTACTAGGATGTTAGTGTACATTCATTTCATTTACCTTCCCATCTTTCACACTGTTGTCATGTATTCTAACTTAATTATATGTATTTTAAACTTTATTATACTTATTACTGCTTTCAGAAGTCAGTGTTCATTAAGATTTACTTTTCCAGATGTGTACAGTGGCGCATCTCTGTAATTCCAACTACCTGGGCAACTGCAGCAGAAGGATCACAAGTTCAAGACCAGTCTGGGCAACTTGGCGAGACCCTGTCTCAAAACAGTAAAAACCGATGGGGAAGTAGCACAGTGATGGAGCTTTTGTCTAAGAAAGCCCAAGCCTCTGGAGTTCAGTCTTCAGTACTTCAAAAAGGAAAAAGGACAAAGAGGGGGAAAAAATGAACATTTCTACTATCTTCATTTTTCTTGTACTTCTGTTCCCATTTGGGAATTTTTCTTTCACCTGAATATATCCCTTTCATTTTTTTATGCATATCTGCTGGCAATAAATTATTTCATTATTTTTGTTCATTTGGAAATTTACATTTTTTAAATTTCACTTTTGAGGACTGTGTTTCCAGTAGAGAAATTTAGGTTCTTGTTATTCCTTTAGCACTTTAAAGACATCACTGTATTAAATTTGGATTACTGTTTTTTTTTATTGAGTTGTGTTAAATTTTTGGTTCCTGGAAAAGGGTATGTCTTCTCTGGGTTCCTTTGGATTTTCTTGTTTCTGGTTTTTAGCAATTTTGCTGTAAGTCCTGAGGATTGGTTTTCTTTGTTTATTCTACTTGAGATTTGTAGCCACTCCTATGTCTTTTAACTCTAATCTTCCATTGTTTGGGGGAAATCTCCAGATATTAGCTTTTTAAATATCACTTCTGCCATGTTGCTTTCTCTTCTGCATGATTAATTTACATGGGTTTTTTATTTTAAGTCTTTGATTCCTTTTACTCTCTTTGCTAAATTTTCTAAAATTTTCTGCTGACCTGCCTCATGAATTCTTTTTACCTCTTTCCTAAAGATAGTTTTAGGCCTGTCTTTGTCATTTCAGCTATATGTTTTCTGGTTGTAGACTTTCCAAGTGACTATTTTTTTAAAAGAAAAAGTAAATGATGAAATTCTTCATCTATCATCTCTTTTCTTGACATATTAATCATCATTATTTGAAAGATCATATCTGATAGCCCCTACTCTTGATCACCTGTGGAGCTGTTTCTGTTGGATTCTTCTCCTGAATCTGTCCCTTGATGTGCGTGGTGACATGTGCTCAGATGCCAGTCACTGCGTAAAGCTTAAGAATTGTAGATACCTTCCCTTCCTTCCTCCCTTCCTTTTTCCCTTTCTTCCTCCCTCCCTGTCCTCTCTCCCTCCCTCCTTCCCTCTCTCCCTACTTCTCTCTCTCCCTACTTCTTTCCCTCCCTCCCTTTTGTCCTTTTGAGGCGACTCATCTGTCCTCTGGTAGGTGCTTACAGAAGGGCTGCATGCCCCCATGCACTGACCAGCAGATCGGGCTTGAGGTAAGGTTGTAAAATGTATGAACTGTTAACCTTTGGTTTCCCCTCCCTGCTTTCTAGGCTGCAGCCCTCCAGAGGTTGCAGTTAATGAGTGACCTACAAGAGTGGCAAAACATTTGTGTGGCTTATTTATTTTCTGTTTTGTTTGTTTTGCTGCTGTCTGGTTTATGATGCTTTTGTCCTCTTGTACTATGCAGTGTAAGAATTTGTCACGTGTTTCTGAGAAAAATGGTTGAATGTTGCGGTCATCTCTCTGCAACTCCCTTCTTTCAGGACACTTGGCAGCTCTGAACTCCAATTTTTGCCTGCAGCCCTTTGAAACTGCTGAAACCTCTGATGACTTCCCTGCCTCTAGCAGCTGCCCTTGCTTGGCCTTGATTTACCCTGGACTTTGCCCCATGCACCTTTTCTCTTTGATGACTTTGCTTTGTATCCTTTCACTATGAGAAGTCATAAATTGAATGCTACTATGTGTGTGCTGAGTCTTCCCAGCCAATTGCTAATTGTGGGCCAGTCTTTGGACCTCTGATAAACATGGGCTTTCTGAATTTCTGCCAGATTTGATTACATCAGAGACTCTAGTCCCCTGAGAATGATCAGAGACAGATGGTGATGTGTTGTGATCTTTTTATATATGGGTGTAACTGAGGTTCAGAGTAATGAATTTTACTCTGGGTCATCTATCTAGTAATTCCTGACAGATCCAGGAATTGGAACCATATCTAGCTCTATGATTCCTTATTTTTTCATTATTTCTTATATTCTCTGAATGTGTAATCAAAATTACTAAAATGTACTGAATTCAGTTTTGGAAACTTGTCCATTATTAAGTTAACCTTTGAACACTGTCGTTTTGTGTGAGGAATGTTTTTAGATCAATAGCAAAAGTAAGTTGGAGTTTAGTGACTTAATTACTATTTTATGGAGACACTTTGCCGTTTTTTCAATAAAAATGTTAATGAGCAAATTTCCCTTTTCAAAGTAGACAAATTTTCTTTATTAGATGTTATATACAAATTAGCTCTTTGTGTGTGTTCATGTATGCATATATGCATATGTTTTGTACAACTGATAAAAGTTACTTATGTTTTCTATGGATAGTTTTATTTACTTTGTGATATATAGATGTGTTTATCTCATAAGATAGACATCAAACTATAAAAATAAGAATATTCTTTAGTATTTGTGCAAATAGATTTTCTTTCACTGTAGACCTAACATTTCAATACAAGAAATCCAGATGCAATCAGCAGTTCACAAATTGCTGGGCAATTTGTTCACACTCTGGGCAGTGTGCTAGTTTTCTGCTGCTGAATCAGTTTCAGAAACTCTCCCATGTGTTATCCTTGTGGCACTGTCTTTTGACAGACAGCTTATTCCCAAGGTCATGGGAGTACAGAGGGTTCTGGGTGCAAAGGTAGGGAGAATTTTTAATCCTGATGGCCTGGGAAAGACCATTGCCTGAGCTTTTTTGGGAACTGAAAAAATACTTTTTTCTTTAAGAAGGAGGGTTTTATTCATGTCGCACAATATTTTCTACTTGTATAACCTAGTAGTTTATGTGTACTTTCACCTTTACTCCCTAATGTCAGCCGCCCGCTGACCTTGTGTGATGGATGGGGCTGTATTGCTGTCCCCACCTTCCCCCAGGGCCTGAGTGCAAGTGAGAGACTGCTTGTCAGTGCCAGCAGACACAGGCACTGGGCTGGATTCCCTCTGGCCTCCCTGAGGGCCGTGGCAGAAGACCTGTGCCCTGGACTCTCCACAGTTAATGAGCTCTCCTAAAAGGAGGCAGCATACAGTTGAGGGTATATCAAGTTTTCAGGTTCACCTTTGTGCAATGTTTAATACGAAGGCAGCCAGACAACTTTCTAACTCTATATGGCACAGACTGGTTTCTGTTTTCTTTAGAAATAAGCTACAGGAGTTGCCCCTTCTGTATGGCAGTGATGTCATCCCATGAGAATGCTCTTTTGACTTTGTTTTTGTTGTTAGTGTGTTTTTTTTTTTTCAGACAGGGTCTTGCTGTGCAGGTTCACTTTGAATTCACTATATGGTCCAGAATGACCTTGGACTTACAAGGATCCTCCTTCCTCAGCCATCCAAGTGCTGGGTTTATAAGTGTGCACCACCACACTTGGTTTAGAAGGCTTTTTGAGTAAAGGATTTGACATTTTTTATGAAGGAGCATTTTAGATTTGTTTTGATCTAAAATTCTATTGTTTTTTAGGGTGAAAATTCCTTATAGGAACTGATTTTGTTTAGTCACCTTTACTCTAAGAATTAAAATGTAAACTATAATGTTGTCACATATATAAACAGGGTAGTTGAAGCAAAGCAGGGCAAAAGGAGTAAATTTAGCTGGGCATGGTGGTGCACGCCTGGAATCGCAGCGCTGTGGGAGGCTGAGGCAAGAGGATGCTAAGTTTGGGCCCAGTCTGGGCAACTTATCAGTTTAGACCCTGTCAGTGGCAAGTAGATAGGCAGATAGATGGATGTATATACTTAACGTGAAAAAAAGTAGTGGCAGAGAAAAGAACAATAAGGGAAAAAATAAATGCTCTTTATGCAGTCTTTTTCTTACAGCTTTAAAGAGTTGGGTTCCTATGTCATACCTCTAAGCCAAGTTACCTAGAAGTTTTTGTTTTAAGTGTTTTGAAAATCAAATTAAGTAATGTATATGAAAGCAATTCTTACATTGTTAACTGTTAGAAATGTTGGAATTATTAATAAAAGAAGAAATGAATTAATCTCGTGCCTTAAATTTTTTCACTAAAATAAAATTAGTGGAATAGGGTAATGAAAAAAATGAATGTTTATCTTGCTATCCTTGTTTCTTTCTCATAAAACCTTCAGCAAACATTTGTTGAGGTGTCAGCAAAGTGCCAGGCCTTTGCAGAGGTCGCAGGCGGCAGTCCTGGGAAGAATCACAGTTCCTGGCACACAGAGGGTGGCTCCCACTGCAGGGGACACAGCGAGATGGAGCAGCAGAGGGGACATGGAGTGAGGGTTCATGTGCCTAGGCAGCACCAAGGAGAGCAGCATCAAATGTGTCTGAACCATTGCATTGGGACAGGAATATGAATCAGGGGTAGAAAGACAGGAAGTGCCCTGTGTGCAGAGGGAATACTTCCAAGTATATATCTTTAATATAAAGTGTGGGACAAACAGTGAAGAGGAGCTTGGGTGGCCAGGTTCCTTGTAGAGCACTTCGGTCCGTAGGGGATCTGGGAGTACTCGGCAGAGGCACCGCTCCATGGGAGAGCAGTGTCTCCAGGCTGTGTGCGCATCTGTCCTGCCAGTCAGCCACAGAGTTCCAGGGGATATTTGGGTTTAGAAATGACAAGAATATAAATGGACACATATTCGTCACTCAGAGGACATGCTGATAAGAAGGCTATTGGCTTAGAGCACTGGTGTGTATTTTTGCGTATTACATATTTTCGAGGAAGTTTAGCAAATGACGGGCATGGGTTCACCATTGAGAAGCAAGAAAGAAGAACCATACAAATTAGAACAGAAGTCTCTCTGGCCTTTCACCTCACAGAAGTACAGCAGAACACGAGGAGAGCTAGACTCTGGAGAGTGGCAAGGGGAAGACTGTGGCCTCGGCTGATTCCTGTGAGGCCTTAGGAGTGGCCAGCTTCTGCCTTTGCCTTTCCCCCAGCCCTCACCTCATTTCCCACTCCCATCTTCCTGTCCTCTCCACCCTGCCTCACTCTGCCTGACTCCCTGTCCTCTAGCTCCCTTCTTGCCAGTGTTCTGTCTGCCTTGTACACACATCCTTGTGTTGCAAAGGGAGGACTTGGTGGCTTCTCTGTGTCTGGAGGCACCCCGTATACTTCACAGTGGTGCGGACCTGATGAAGCTGGGCCCAGGCTAGGAGCACAGTTTGGCTAGGGCCTACTGAGACAGGACTCAGGAATCAGGGCTGGTGTGGGCTGTAGGAGCGGAATAGAATGGCCCTAGTCCTCTCTTCTTATTCCCCTGTCTTACTGGAACAAATGGGGTTCACATCATGAGTGAAGTGTGAACCACCAAGATGGCTTCACTGTATGCACCCAGAGCCAGAACCTCCCTGGCTGTATTGCTTTTTCAGTCCTGCAGGGACTTACCTTCCAGGCTGTGCCCCTTTGTCCTGAAAGTATACATCTGTGCTTGATGCCAGCATTATTCCAAGTTCTCTTGTTCTCATGAAGTTTTTATGGCTTCATCCTGGACATCTTCTTTGCTTGTAAACTGTGCTTCTCTTGTTCTGTCTCCTCACTGACTTAGAGCTTTTTGTTTAAGCTCTTTTCTTTAGTTCAGATGGATGAACTTGCTACTATTCAGCCTGCTGTCTAGAATTAGATCCTTCTGCCAACCCAGGGCAATGGGCAGGCTCCCTGGACCCCCCCCCCCCCGCCATATGTGCCTGTATGTTCCCGCCGGGTAAGGGTGCTGTAGCTTTCTGGATGATGCTGCCCTCCTCCCTGTGGGTTTTGCCTTTCCGTGGTGTCGGCAGGCCCCTGTAGGATTCTGGTGGCCTTCCCAGCCCTGGCACCAGTTCCAGAGTGCAGCCTCCGAGCACTTGTGTCTCCTCTGTGCTTCCCTCATCCTTCCTTCTCCAGCAAGAGATGAGCATATGTGTGGCCAAAGATGTCTTTTCCCACTTTCTCTCTCCTTCTCTTACTTACTTCAGTTAGCTTTTCATCTGTTCTTTCAGTCAAGGAGGAGGAATGAATGAACTGTATTTCAAAAATAAGAAAGCTAATAAGTTATTTTAAAAGGCACATAATCTTGTAATCTTTCCCCCTGAAAGCCTAAGAGACTCTTTTTAAAAGTTTTAATTGCATAACAAAAACTGAAGTTATTTTTGTGTTAAATATGTTGTGAAGTCTCACACAGTCCTCAGAGCTGTTTGGTTTTGTCTGTTAGGGCTGCCATGTTATTTCCTAGCTCTGAGCTTTGAAGAGGAATTTTGCTTAACACTATGCCGAGGTAGCATTCCAATTCATTTTTCTCTTTAAAAAAAAGATTAAAGTTAATTAAAAATAAAAACTTCTTTGCCAGATGTTTTGCTTCCTGCCATCAGGAAATTAGAACCATATAATCCATTACTTTCCTCTTCCTACCCTAAATTGTACACACTCAAACTGAGTTGAGTAGTCACTCATAGGTATTCCTTCATTTTTAGGTCCCTAATAATACCCACTTTCTTCTCATTGGAAAAGATTTTTTTTTTCCCATTTCTTTGTCTGATTTTGTGGCTTTTAATTGCTTCAACTATTGGAAATCCTTTTTGGAAACAGGTGGGAATAGAAGCAAACACACACCTGTAGGAAATTCAGATAGATCTGATCACTAACTTTGAACTATTTCTGTTGTATTTCTTTGGCATAGGGAGAAATCAAAATGTGATTTTTTTTTTCAAGGAAAGAGTGTAAAAGTACTTAGTGGAAATGTCTTAATTCCAGACAACCTATCTTAATGAAATATTTAGAGCTTTTAAGCAACTACCCTGAACCCTAAAGGAAAGTAATAAACCTAGGAATAGAGGGTTGACTTGTTTTCCATGTTGATTACAGAATAGTGGACATTTTGAGAATGGGTGTGTCCGCTGGTTTACGGCTGCCAATCACGTGTGGACTTACAGTTTCAGTACACCCACTAGATAACCACAGTTTCTTAGGAGGCCTCTTCAGATGATCTGTTGCCTGATTTTCAGTGATTAAAACAGAACTTTAAAAATTGATGAAATCCTCAAAAGAAGTGTCTTAATAAAAGAGTCCATTGTTTTGTTTTGGTTTTTAGGTGATATGTACATTGACACTCTTGTAATATGAATTAGATTAGCATTTCACTCCTATTGTCAATACAAGGCACTTTCAATAGTTGTAAATTGCTCAATTTATTCATTTGGATAAAATTTATAAAATTAGTACAAATTACATATGTTGAAATTAAAATTAATCCCGTAAGGTGAAATCATCTTACTAATAGAGCCTTGAAATCTCACCAAGGCTTGTATGTTCTGTGTGTTTTGGCTACAGCCCTACTACTTATGTTATGGATGAAGATGAACCTCGATTCCTTGAAGAAGTTGATTACAGTGCAGAAAGTAACGATGAGTTAGACATTGAGTTGGCTGAAAACGCAGGTGATTATGAGCTTTCTGCTCAAGAAGAAGGGCTTTCTGACTCTGAATTGTCACGAACCTACCTATCGTGAGCCCTCTGCCGTCTCTTATTAACTGCAACGAAGAAATAAAATGTCTTGGTTTTTCTTACACAGATAATTTTTAAAAAATGAGTTTACAAAGAACTGACTCAAAAAGACAAGTAACCTGGACCTTCTTGGTTTCAAGACAAATAAATGTGTTACTAATTCATGATAAAATTGGTACTTGTTTTATTTTAGACGTTTAATGTACTTGACATAGCACTGAATTATCAAATAATGGATTTCCTTAAAAAAGAACCCTGATTATTGTTGCATGCATTTTTTATCACCTTTGGTTATATTGTGCATCAAATGGATAATTTTGAAGTTATCAGAATATAAAATCTAAATTCTAGAATTGTTGAAAACCAATCTATATGTACATGGATTTCTGTAGATGTGCTTGTGTATAAGTGGGCAGATGTTTGAAGATAAGACTGTTCTTCAGAATCATGTTTGCTATTGGATTGTGACTAACGTAATTCAGAATTTGCCCGGAAACCACTACATTCTACATTTACCAAATTAAATAAAACTATGTTGAATATTGTATTTATTTCGTCATCCTTTTTAACCAGTTCTAGTTATTTGGTGCATAGGGCTTTGTGAGAATTTTCTAAAAACCCATATTTGAGCACATTGATAAAAATGTCTTTTAAAAAGATTCTAATTTACTAGTGGTTAGATGTTTGTGATGCAGCTATTCCTGTGCCTATCATAAAAGATAAATTTAAGCAGCTCGTAATTGTAAAATTGTGTCTCAGAGGTGCACCTATAGTTTCTCACTGTTCTTGGTTTGTCATGAAGCTTTGAAAACACCATGAGGAATGAGCTGCTGTAAGTGTGCATTTGTATATTGGGATGATTCTGCCTCTATGAACTGTACTGTGTGGTTAGAGTTACTGATGCGCACTTGTTTAGGGCCTGCTGATAGAGGTCGTAGATAACTACAATGATCCTAAATCGTTTCTGGTAATGATGTCTTTCTGAGCTGTACATACAAGTGTGCTGCAGGAATGACTATCTTGAAATAAAATAAAGCAAGTCATTGACTGCAGTTAATTGCTTTAAGCACTAAGTTTCTGTTGTAACAAAACCCTAAAAGATGCTACATCCACAGATTTTTGCCAGGGTTCAGGTGCTTAAGTTTTTGATCCATATCTTCCTTACTTATTCCTAGGCTAGAATTTTTTTTCTGTCTCTTTGAGACAAGGTCTTACCATAATTCAGGAGGCTGGCCTTGAACTCAATATGTAGTCCATGCTGGCCTCAAACTCTCAATGAGGCTCAGTCTCCCTAGTATAGAATATTTTCTAAACTTGTTAAAATAGAAAACAGATTATAAAAGAATACTACAGATTTATGGGTTGTGCAGTTGATTTTTTCTTTAAACGAATGACATGTCATTCACAATGTAGATACTGTCTGTTTTGGAAGCCAGGTTTAAAAACATCATATGGGACAATTAAAAAAAGAGGTCTTTTCCTGTAAAGAGTATTTATGAATCTCATAAAATAAAGATTAAATAAACCAGTTCTGCTAGGATGGT